CGGCCCTTGACAAATGACTACCGTCCTGATTTCCCAGATAGGCAAATGAGACACGTCCAGCTCTTGAGTTGCGTTGTATATTGTTGTTTATTGCTTACTAATGTATATATAAGAGTAATGCTGTTTGTGTAGCGGATCAGGCTACCAAGGTATATCAATTATGCCAATTTTTTTATTTTTTTTATTTTTACATGCAAGCATGTGAAGAAATACCATACATACAATCAAATCAATAAAAGCCTAGAACAAAACATGGCATACAAAATGACAAATCATAAACTCACAAAGTACAAAAGAACAAAGGTACACAAAACACCGGTCTGAAGGGCCGACCACAAAAACAAATACTCACAATAAACAAACGGACAGCATAATCGCAATACAGAAAACATATACGCAATACATAATACAAAACAAACACCGGAACATGCAGGAACCGGGAAAACAAACCCGCCCCCCCCCATAACAATGCACACAAACGGAAAACAATCCACAACATACAGCCAAATAAAGGAATCAATGATCATACTTCTCAGGGAATTTATCCCAAGGATACCTTTTCTTATAGGCCTCCCAAATCAAATATTCCATGTCAGTAGGCAGTCGATCCCCCTCCTGCTGTGGGGCCCGCATAAACTCCGGAATCACCAAATCTGGCGGAAACGGCCACTCCCGAAGCTCACAGGGGCGAGTCGCATAACGAGGCACGGGAGCACGAAACACCCCCTCCTTGGAAGCAGAAGTCCCCGAAGAATCGTACGTAGGGCGCAGTGACGGCCATGCCGCTGAACGCACAGGAGAAGAAGGTGACGGTTGACGTGATGGTAACACTTCCACCAGTACCGCAGGAGCTACAGAAGAGACGGCTTGAGTCAGAAGAGGTGTCAAGATCGCCGCCGACGTAACAGGGAACGAGGAAATGGCATGGACACCCAGAGCAAGCAGCCTTTTTCAAGACCACCACCAGGTCACTACGCTCACCACGAACCTCAGCAGGGGGAACCACCCCCCACGAAGAACCGGAACCAACCGACACAGGCGACGCACCCGAATCAGGACCGGCAAACACCCCACCAGAAAGGGAGGCCGGCACCGGCACCGACATCTGCAGGCAAATGCACCTCCGCCACCACCATAGATTACAACGCAACCAGAGCCACCCAGCCATCTCCGGAAGAATCACAGTCGTCGAACACGCCAACTTCCGCCCATGCAACAGAAGAACGACAGGAACGCTTGGGCTCCAGCAGTACATCATCAGAGCTGGAGGCAGACCCAGAAACACGCGCCCCACAAGGCGGGCGAACATACGCATGATGCAAGACGGCAGCAGCCTTAACCACAGGGGGAACCAGGCCGCACACCGCAGGAGGAGCGTCGGCCACCCCACCACCAACCACAGGCGGGACACAAGTCAAGGGTGCTGGGCCTAGCGCAGTAGCAGGAGACGAGGAAGTGGAGGGCGCCGACAGCGCACAGATATCGCCTGGAAGACCCTTACGAGCAGCCGGAACATCGATCGGAGCAAGAAGAATCGCCGACGGCGCCACAACACCCAGAGGAGGGTCCGCAACATCTGGAGGCATACTCGGAGACGCAGGGGGAGCCTCAACAGTGATCGGGACGTCCACCTCCTCACCCACGGAGTCCTCCCCCTCAGGGAGCAGCAGGAAATCCTCTTCCTTGAAGATGTTCATGGGAGCAGTCGCAGCCTCAGTGCACTCGGCAGCCTGATGCCCCAACTGGCCACAACAAAAACATGTCCGTGGCTGCCGGGCATGGTACACCCGTATGTAGTACCCTAAAAGCCGGACAGAAGATGGAATGTCCGACCTCAGGCGCATCCCTAGGGTACGAATGTTGGTCCTCATACCCATAAACTTGCCAGAAGACAGTGTGTGCATCCGCACACTAACGACGGCGCCAAACCGGTGGAAAAATCGCCCGAGGATGGTCTCAGGAAACTCCATGGGGGCCCCATGGACACTCAGATATGTCATGGTACCGTAACAATCCGTAATGGACACAGTTCCGGTGCTATCCAGCAGCTGTAAGGTGCGTTCCTCATACCTCCGGAGAAAGTCACAGTACACCGCTTCCCCCACAAACTTTATAACTACACTGTGAGTAGTTATCAGCTCAACACCATAGATGTCCATTACCGGAATACGGAGCATGTCACACATGACAAGCTTCACTACAGGGTACCCTGCACGTCCAGTAAACTCCAATCCCTCAGAGTTGGTCCTCACAACAGGGGGGAAGATGGCCGCCCATCGCAAACGTGCCATGTCCAAAATATAATATTTAACACCAGTAGGGAACAGCAGGGAGTGTAGAGACACCCACACCCCTGCCAACTAAAGCGGCAAACACCCCAACTACCAGAGACTCCAGGCGACACATCTGCACCTCACGGCTGCTAGAGCGCCATCAGTTATGTTAAGTGGTGCATTTGTGTGGTATCAGAGGACAGTAGGTGCTTGGTATGGTGTTGTAATATGTTTCTGATTCCTCACCCACTGTTTATTAATGTATGATACCACCAACCTGTTACTTGGGTTAGAGTACCACTGTCCTGGGTTAGAGCTTGGTGTCAACTAGTCCCAAGTGTTTGCAGTTAATGCCTGTAACTTATTTCGATAATGTGGTTTAAGTCCCTTCATGTTCCTTGATATGATTACAAGAGCTGTGTTAAAGCTCCTTGTTGTGATTGGATTATCAGTTTTATGCTAGTTGTATATAGAGAACTTTAGTTTCTCGTTGTTTTATGGTGACCTGTTTATATGTACCAGTAAAGTGGTATTGTTTTAACCAGCCTTTTTCACATTATCCTAGACACATATTGAAACTTGGCTAGGCTTTGGTTGGCCAGCGATGATGTGGATCATGAGATCATGACAAGGGGCATATAGGGCACTGGCATAAGACATGGAGATAGCTAGTGTGGATTGGTGATAGGATGTGCATGATTGTGAGGTTGGTTAGTATGAAGAGTTTTCAGAGTTTGTTTCCTCAGCGGGAAAGATTTATCTCTTGTCGTATGAGCACCTTGGTAATTGGTGCATTGTTCTGAGATTTTTCTTACGCTTACCTCCCTCTCGGTAGCTTCTGTCTATGACAAGTTTTACTCTAATGAGTGATAATAACCATTATTACCACTAATTAACCTTGAGCAATTAATTAACTGTACCACGGACCGATAATTAATTATACACGAATACGTCCCACTGCTTAGGTAGGTCTCGTCAAACACTGTGAATTCACGGGAGAGGTATTAATTATCCAAATTAACATGAGGGTCTTGTCAATTGTCTCACAGACAGATGTAACGTATCAGAAATTGAAAAAAGAGAAATTAATAATGAAGTAATGGGTAAGGGAGGTAGAGAGGTGGGAGGAGTAAGGAGTATTGGGATTAGCGAAGAGTGTGGTCAGTTTGAAAGGGAAAGTGTGAAAGAGAGAGAGAGAATTGGCGTAACATAATTGGCATCCCGCTGGGGATGCCAATTATGTTACGGCCCTATTGGGTGGCAACCGGGTTCTTCTCTGGTGTTATTAGAGTTTGGGAATCCGGCCCCAAGTTAGTCGAGGCTTTCAAGGGATGTGTTCCGTAACGCAAGTTAAATTAAAGGGGGAGGGATACAATTGTTCTGATTTATATATATATTTTCACCACCACCATAAATAAATAAATACCAGTTGCACACGGGGGTTATCATACACGATTATGTACAATGACTTGTCTTCCTCCGAAGACACAGGATGCTCCACGGTGCTCACGATGAATCCTCCATGATTCTCTTGGTGAATCTACCCTGGCCACAGGCAAGCCAAATCACAGTTCCATTGGGTGCACCGTCGTGGAGGCCTTCAACCACAATCCAGCCTGTAGCTGGCAGGTTCCGATCACCTCTGCTGTGTAGGCCACTCCACGACTGATACTAGGGTTGCGAGCCCTTGGCAGGAGCCTCATGTGATCCCGCTGGTCACACTCCTCACTAAGCGCCACAGTGGCTAGTCTCTTCCACCAGCCAGCCCCGGATACGACGATTCCTGATACTGCCACGTCACACGCAGGCTAACACTCTCAACAGAGTTCGTCCGGGGGTGACTCACGGCTTCTTCAGAGCAAACTCGTGGAGAGACCTTGGCTCCCTTGGGTAGACTGATCCATCGTCCAATACAGCAGTCCCAGGTCGACACTGCAATCAGACACGTCATTAGTACTGGAGACGCTCTAGGGAACCTCACTTACAGGCTTAGACACAAACGTCCACCTATCCACTCAATAGATGGCATTGCTGTCTAAGCGCCACCTTACCAGAGGTCAGCAGCGGCTATGTTACGAGCTGATTAAGACGGGAATCCAGCACCTGTGGCTGGTATATCCCGTCCTCACTAGATGGCGTTGTCCATTTGGAGTGGGTTTCGGGAGCGGACTCACAGATGGCGTTGTCGTCATCGCTCCATGCTCCGACGCTGGACATGGGTCCGTAACACCTCCCCACCAAAAGAATTTGGTTTGGACTTCTATAAAAGGGAAAACAAACCAAATTAGTACGTGGGTACAACTCCAAATGGACTCACATAAACTATGAACTGGAGTGGCGAGGATGTCTTGTCCGAAAAACTGTCTTAATGAGAGACTCTAGCATAAAGGAAACTTGAAGATGGAAGGCAATGACCTGCATGATGTGACTTCCCACACCTTCACTGAGATGTCAAGCAGGGGCATAATCATCTTATGTGCCTCGAGTAAGGATCGGTATAGACGCGATCTGGGGTGAATCGACACTTCCCTGTGACGTGGCACCGTTGATGGCTGGTCACAGACGACATTTCTGGTACCGGTCCGGTAGTCCTTCAGGGAGACGGGAACCTGGAATACAGGGGTCTGATAATTTAGAGTAACAGCGATAGTTGTTAAGACAGTACTTACAGCATACGCTCCTACTAGGCCCACACCTAGTCCCTACAGGGCTGCTTGTACATCGAAGATGGTGTTCGCTCTGCCATCATCAGGCCGACCAACGTTCCGCATAACGCATGAATCCAGGTTCGGCAATCACGCGGGGGGTGTCAACCTGTCGGAAACAGTCACTCATAATATCATATCTCCCACTCCCTGTATCCATCATCACCTTCCAGGTCCCTTCTTTGACTGCAACACTCACAGTGCACGTCTCTAATCCCTGGGATCTCTTCACGATGTTCACGGGAGCCATCATCTGTCGAGTCGTCCACTGGTCCTTACTGAGAACACACACGAGAAAAAAAAAATACCACTAAGAAACATTTGGTTAACTTAGGGATAAGTTTCATGAGCCTGTAATGTCCATAGCCGGCCATACCCATTAGCCTGGTTTGGACCGAAGAGGGCACTAGAACCTTCGCACATACCTCACATACCTCCGACGACTGGGGAATCTCTGGCCGGTTCAGTATACATTGTACTTTGCCATACCGCAAGTACTCATCCGCCTTCACTCTAGACTCTTGGGTATCCGTGGGTGCTTGTACACGAGGCCTCTCTTCTCGCTCAGTCGCTTCTGCCACCATAACCTCATGCTTCTTGTCGGGAGAAGAATCAGGAGACTGCTAGAATGCAGTCGATCTGTTGGGTAGAGGAAAGATTAAATATGTTATCTAATTCCATATCTGTCTGTACCTGGATATTACCAATGCCTGCTGTTACCTCAGACCCTCTTGCTGTTTCGACTGACTCTTCCACAAACTTGGGATGATTGTTGCTCCAATCTGTCACCAAGTCGTTGGCTAGTATCACGTCAATCCCAGCTATAGGCAAGGTATCAACTACTGCCAACGCACATGTGCCGCTAAAGTAAGGCGAGTCTAGATGTACCGGCACTAAGATATCAATTGGTACGCCATGAGCACTACCTTCTTCACCTTGCCGTAATCACAATAGTCATCAAGGGACAACGTGGAGTAGGCGATTTGGGCCTTCCCAGTCAAGACGGACTGTATCATGATGGCCCAATTCTCCTTTGGCCACTCCAAAGAGGCTGCAACTTTCTCGAAGGCTGCGAAGAACTTCGAAACTTCCTTCTCGTTGAACTTCGGGACCATTTTGATGTTCCTTACTGGATCGAAAATACTTGTGTCCGTTGTTTGCCTCCGACTACCTAATCGCAATACTTCTAGCTCATGTTGTCTCTCTTTTTCCTTTTCTTCTCTCTCTTGCTCTTCTCTAATCTCTCTCTCTCGTTTCTCTTCTCTTTCTCGCTCTTCTCTTTCTCTTTCTCGTTTCTCTTCTCTTTCTCGCTCTTCTCTTTCTCTTTCTCTTTCTCGTTCTTCTTTCCTTTCTTCTAATTCTAAACGCCTCATCTCCATTTCTTTTTCTTGTCTCTCTCTTTCCATTTCTAATTTCTTCCATTCTATCTCGCGATTTATTTCCAAGGCACACATTTTGACAGTTAGAAAGCTTATATTCAGCTCACCTGCATCACTGCCAATGTCACTGCCCTTATCTTCCTTTTCAGCAGAAGCTACTTCCTCACTTTCTTTTGTATTTTGTGCCTCGCTTTCCTGTGTCTCCTCGGGCCTTCAAATGCCGGTGAACCTTGGACAAGATCTCCACACGGGAATCACTGGCACGTATCTTTATCTCCAGATAGGCACTCACTAGTACAAATTTCTGTTTTCCCAAATATTTTAATCTGGCAAGACAGTCCTCCTTGTTCAGAAAGGCCTGAACATCGTCCAGATCGTCGATGGTCGCTTTTTCTGCCATTGTCACTTAAATGGTGCACGAGCACTTAACACACCGCTTCACTTTAGCACTTAACACACCGAGCACTGTACTACGCCAATATTGCACTTTATTGCACCTAACACCGCACTTGCCAATATTGCACGTAATCACACCAAGCACCGCACTACAATATTGCATTAAATCACACCGAGCACCGCACAGGACGTATAACGTCCTAATAATTACAAACAGGGGGAATTATTTACAGGGGATTGTGCTACATCACCACCCCTGTCAAACATACTTGACAAAGGGTCGGATCCCGCTGGGGATGCCAATTATGTTACAGCCCTATTGGGTCGCAACCAGGTTCTTCTCTGGTGTTATTAGAGTTTGAGAATCCGGCCCCAAGTTAGTAGAGGCTTTCAAGGGATGTGTTCCGTAACGCAAGTTAAATTAAAGGGGGAGGGATACAATTGTTCTGATTTATATATATATTTTCACCACCACCATAAATAAATAAATACCAGTTGCACACGGGGGTTATCATACACGATTATGTACAATGACATGTCTTCCTCCGAAGACACAGGATGCTCCACAGTGCTCATGATGAATCCTCCATTATTCTCTTGGTGAATCTACCCTGGCCACAGGCCAGCCAAATCACAGTTCCACTGGGTTCACCGTCATGGAGGCCTTCAACCACAATCCAGCCTGTAGCTGGCAGGTTCCAATCAGCTCTGCTGTGTAGGCCACTCCACGACCAATACTAGGGTTGCGAGCCCTAGGCAGGAGCCTCGTGTGATCCCGCTGATCACTCTCCTCACTAAGCACCACAGTGGCTAGTCTCTTCCACCAGCCAGCCCTGGATACGACGATTCCTGATACTGCCATGTCACAGGCAGGCTAACACTTTCAACAGAGTTCGTCCGGGGGTGACTCACGGCTTCTTCAGAGCAAACTCGTGGAGAGACCTTGGCTGCCTTGGGTAGACTGATCCATCGTCCAATACAGCAGTCCCAGGTCGACTCTGCAATCAGACACGTCATTAGTACTGGAGACGCTCTAGGGAACCTCACTTACAGGCTTAGACACAAACGTCCACCTATCCACTCCATAGATGGCGTTGCTGTCTAAGTGCCACCTCACCAGAGGTCAGCAGCGGCTATGTTACGAGCTTATTAAGACGGGAATCCAGCACTTGTGGCCGGTATATCCCGTCCTCACTAGATGGCGTTGTCCATTTGGAGTGGGTTTCGGGAGCGGACTCACAGATGGCGTTGTCGTCATCGCTCCGTGCTCCGACGCTGGACTCGGGACCGTAACACACTAGCATACTCGTTCCTGGTTCTCTGGTATCTCTCTCTACTTTCTGGTGTCCTGTTTTTTCGGAAGTTCCTCCATGCTCTTTTGTTCAGGTCCTTTGCTTTCATACATTCCCGATTAAACCACGGATTCTTCTTTTGCTTCTCGTTTTTTTTCCTGTCGGGCCGGGATAAACCTGTTTACTTCCTCCTGATACTTTTGAGTGACATAGTCCATCATGTCTTGGACGGACTTAGTTCTGGGTTCTGTGCCCCCATGGTATATCCCTTAGGAATTTATTCATCTCCTCATAATTTCCCTTTCGGTAAGCCAGCCCTTTGTTTCCCAGTTCTTTTTTTTGGGGAGATAATTCCTAGCTCAACCAGGTCCTCAAAGCTCAATACACTATGATCACTCATTCCCAAGAAGGCTTCCAACTTAACTTCCCTTATATCCGACTCATTTAGAGTAAATATAAGATCAACCAAAGCTGGTTCATGCTCTCCTCTTATTCTTGTCGGTCCCTTGACGTATTGACTTAGAAAGTTTCTTGTTGCCACGTCCAACAGCTTAGCTCTCCATGTGGGTCTCTGTTCTCCCAATCTATCTTCCCGTGGTTGAAGTCTCCCATGATTTGTAGTCTGGATCCGTTCCTGCTAGCCACAGAAGCTGCTCTGTCTATTATATTGATGGTGGCCATGTTGTTTCTATCATATTCCGGTCTGGGACTTCTGTCATTTGATGGGGATTATATATGACTACTACTATAATTTTCTGTCCTCTAGTTGCTATAGTGCCTGATATGTAGTCACTGAAACCTTCACAGCCCTGATTAACCATCTCTTCAAAACTCCAACCTTTTCTTATCAGAAAAGCTACACCACCTCCTCCTCCTTTCCCTTCTCTCTCTTTCCTCACTACATAGTAGTTCTGTGGAAACACTGCATTTGTTATGGTTTTCGTTAGCTTTGTTTCTGTGATTGCTATTATGTCTGTTTTTTTTCTAGTGCCCATTCTCCAAGTTCACTTGTTTTGTTTGTAATTCCATCTATGTTAGTGTACATTGCCTTGAAGCTCAATTTCTTCTGTTAATTTCCTTGTCGCCTTCTTGGTGAGAGTTCTGCTGGTAAAGGAAGCTGTTCCCTGGCGGTGAAGATCTGTGAGGTGGTTTGCAGAGTCACAGAGGATTTTGGGGTGGAGGGTGGGGGGTTCAAGGGAAGGTCGAACATGTAGGATTTGGGGTAAGGAGGTAGGGGAGACATGGAGGATTCGGGGTGAGGAGGGATATGGAGGGTACGGGATGAATTGGGAGGGGGGACAGGGCGGAAAGGCGGGAGTGGGGATATGGTGGGAATTGGGGAGGGGTGACAGGGTCGGAATGCGGTAAGGGGAAGGGAGGGGGGTGAACATTTGAATGGGAGTAGGTGGAGTGAGGGGAAGGGAAGGTTTCTATGCAGAGGAGGGTGGTGGTGTTACCCTCCCCTCTGGTGCTGCTGGGATGCTGGTTGTGGGTTCTCCTCTTGTCTCTGGGACTGTTGTGTTGGGGGCTGTGATTTCCTGGTTTACTCCTTTCTCCCTGCACTTCCTCCTTGCCTCTGCTGCCCTGGCTTTCTCCTCCTTTGTCCTGTCCCTCTGGAGGAATACTTTTTTGTATTCCTCCATATACTGCAGATGACTCCTCCTTTCTAGAATATCCTCCTTTGTGGTCTCGTTTGCAAACACCACCTTTACCAGTCGGTTTCTGTCCTTGTTGTACCAGCCCAGTTTGAAAACCTTCACAATGTTTTATTCAGCCCCTTCCATCTGTAACCCCTTCAGTATCCCATATACTGCCTCTCTGTCCTTGTTATTCCATTCCTGCCTATTGGATCCTTCCTGTTCCTTGATGCCTACAACAACCACGGATCTTTTTCTTTCCAGCAGCTGAATGGTGCACGTTGCTGCTTCCTGTGAGGTAACTGCTTGCATGACTACCTCCCTCACTGTGTCCATTGCTTTTGAGCTCTTTCTAGTATTTCCACAATGTTTCAGGAACAAAGGTATTTCCTTCTAATGCAACATATCCACCTTTCCTTCGGATGATAATCTGATGCTCAGCCTCATTATTTTCTCTGTGAGGGATTTGATCTCTTACCTTGCTGATGTCAGCTCACTTTGCAGGTTGTTAATTGTAATCCTCATGTCATGCATCTCCCTCTTGAATTCCTCCAAAAATTGGGATAGCATTTTCTTCATATGGTCACTTTGACTGTTCCCTGTGTCCCTGGTACGTCCTCTTGACATCTTGTCCCTTTCCCTGATATGTTTTGATAGGGTTAGGCATGGGGGATGCAGAGAGAGAGAGAGAGAGAGAGAGAGAGAGAGAGAGAGAGAGAGAGAGAGAGAGAGAGAGAGAGAGAGAGAGAGAGAGAGAGAGACAGAGAGAGAGAGAGAACAGAGAGAACGAGAGAGAGAGACAGAGAGACAGAGACAGAGAGACAGAGACAGAGAGAGAGAGAGAGAGAGAGGAGAGAGAGAGAGAGAGAGAGAGAGAGAGAGAGAGAGATAGAGACAGAGACAGAGACAGAGACAGAGACACAGAGACAGATACGAGACAGAGACAGAGAGAGAGAGAGAGAGATAGAGAGAGAGAGAGAGAGAGAGAGAGAGAGAGAGAGAGAGAGAGAGATAGAGAGAAGGGGGGGGCGGTGTTTTGGAGAGTGTGGGAGTGTGAAGGGAAAGTCTGGTGACCAAGCTCTTCTCACAAATGCGTGACAAATTACCTACCCTAACTTCTTGTGTGTGTGCAGGGAAGGGTGTGTGTGAGTGTGTGTGTGACTGTATGTGAGTGGGAGTGTGTACTCACCTAGTTTTACTCACCTAGTTATACTCACCTAGTTGTGTTTGCGGGGGTTGAGCTCTGGCTCTTTGGTCCCACCTCTCAACTGTCAATCAACGGGTGTACAGATTCCTGAGCCTATTGGGCTTTATCATATCTATATTTGAACCTATGTATGGAGTCAGCCTCCACCACAACACTACTTGTGTTGTGGTGGGAATATTCCATTTGTTAACTACCCAGACACTGAAAAAATCTTTCTAACGTCTCTGTGGCTCATCTGAGTACTAAGTTTCCACCTGTGTCCCCTTGTTCGTGTGCCTCCCGTACTAAAGAGTTTGTCTTTGTCCACCCTGTCAATTCCCCGGAGAATTTTGTAGGTGGTAATCTTGTCTCCCCTTACTCTTCTGTTTTCCAGGGTTGTGAGGTTCAGCTCCCTTAGCCTTTCCTCGTAACTCATTCCTCTTAGTTCTGGGACCAGTCTGGTGGCATACCTCTGAATCTTCTCTAACTTCGTCTTGCGTTTAACTAGGTATGGACTCCAGGCTGGAGCTGCATACTCCAGGATTGGTCTTACATAAGTGGTATACAGGGCCCTGAACGATTCCTTTCACAAGTTTCTAAAGGCAGTTCTTATATTGGCCTGTTTAACATATGCCGCTGATGATATCCTTTTGATATTGGCCTCTGGAGACAGGTTCGGTGTGATATCGATCCCCAGATCCTTCTCTCTATTTGACTCTTGCCTAATTTCACTTCCCACATGGTACCTTGTATTCAGCCCTCTGCTCCCTTCGCCTAATTTCATTACTTTACACTTTCCTGAGATGAAATTTAGCAGCCAATTTCTAGACCATTCCTCCAGTTTGTCCAGGTCGTCCTGTAGTCTCTGTCTATCTTCATCTGTTTTGATTTGTCTCATAATTTTTGCATCATCAGCAAACATTGAGAGGAATGAGTCTATACCCTATGGAAGGTCGTTTACATATACTAGAAACAGCCCTGTGGGACTCAGCTGGTGACATCTCGCCACTCTGAGGCCTTCCCCCTCACCGTTACTCACTGTTTTCTATTGCTTAGTTTCTTCCTTATCCACTGGAGCACCTTACCTTGTACTCCTGCCTGCTGCTCCAACTTTTGTAACAGCCTTTTGTGAGGTACTGTGTCAAAGGCTTTCTGACAGTCCAAGAAAATGCAGTCTGCCCACCCTTCTCGTTCCTGCCTAATTTGTGTTGCTTGGTCATAGAATTCTATTAGGCCTGTGAGGCACGATTTACCATCTTTGAACTCATGCTCGTGGTGTGTTACAAAGCTGTTTCCCTCCAGATGCTCTACGAGCCTTTTCCTCACAATCTTCTCCATCACTTTGCATGGTATACAAGTTAGGGAAACTGGCCTTTAGTTCAGTGGCTCTTGTCTGTCACCCTTTTTGTAAATTGGGACCTCATTAGCTGTCTTCCAGCTTTCCGGAAGGTCTCCCGTTTCCAGTGACCTGTTATACACCATAGAGAGTGGCACACATAGTGCTTCTGCATCTTCTTTTAGAACCCACGGTGAGATTCTATCAGGCCCAACAGCCTTTGACACATTCAGCTCCAACAGATTCCATTTGACCTCATCACTGGTGAGGTAAAATTCCTCCAAGGTTGTTCGGTTTGCCTCCTCCTTTAGTGCAGGGACCTCTCCTTGTTCTATTGTGAAGGCCTCCTGGAATCTCTTGTTGAGTTCTTCATACACCTCTTTGTTGTTCTCTGTGTATCTGTTCTCTCCTTTTCTCAGTTTCATCACTTGTTCCTTCTCTGCTGTTTTCCTCCTGATGTTGCCGTGGAGCAGTTTTGTTTGGGTCCTAGCTTTACTCGCGATGTCATTTTCATACTGTCTCTCTGCTTCTCTCCTCACTCTGATGTAATCATTTCTGGCCCTCTGGTATCTCTCCCTGCTCTCTGGTGTTCTGTTGTTCGTGTAGTTTCGACATGTTCTTTTACTCAATTGCTTTGCTGCCGCACATTTCTTGTTGAACCACGGATTCTTCTGTTGCTTTTCATTTTTCACTTTTTGGACTGGGATAAACCTGTCTGCAGCCTCCTGACACTTCTGAGTGACATAATCCATCATATCCTGTACAGTCTTTTCTCTGAGTTCTGTATCCCATGGTATTCCCATTAGGAAGTTCCTCATCTCGTCATATTTTCCTCTTCGGTAATTTAGTCTTTTTCCTTCCAATCCCATCCTTGGATAGGTTATCCCTACTTCCACCAGATACTCAAATATCAATACACTGTGGTCACACATTCCTACGGGGGCTTCATATTTGACTTCCCTTATTTGTGAGTCATTTAACGTAAATATCAGGTCGAGTGTAGCTGGTTCGTCATTTCCTCTTATTCTTGTGGGTCCCTTGACATGTTGGCTCAGAAAGTTCCTTGTACTCACTTCCAAAAGTTTAGATCTCCATGTGTCTTCACCTCCATGGGGGTCCCCATTCTCCCAGTCTATCTTTCCATAGTTGAAATCGCCCTGATTAAGAGTCTGGATCCATTCCTGCAAGCAACTGAAGCTGCTCTCTCTATTATGTTAATGGTAGCCATGTTGTTTCTGTCGAACTCTTGTCTGGGTCTTCTGTCATTTAATTGGAGAGTTGTAAATGACTGCCATTATTATGTTAGGTCCACCCATTGTCATAGTTCCTGTTATGTAATCTCTGAATCCGTTGCCGCCAGGAATTTCCATATCGTCAAAGCTCCAGTCCTTCTCTATCAGCAGAGCCACTCCTCCTCCTCCTCTCTAGTCTCTCTCTTTCCTTACTATATAAAAGTCCTTTGGAAACACAGCCTTTGTTATGAATCCTGACAATTTTTTTTCTGTGAGTCCTATTACATCTGGGGTTTTTTCTGCGCCCTTTTTACCAATTCACTTGCTTTGTTGGTAATCCCATCGATGTTTGAGTACATTACCTTGAGGCTCACTTTCCTATATCCATTTTCACCCACCATCCCCACTAGTGCAGGAAGCTGTTCCATAGGCACTGCTGCTTGGGTAGGCTCATCCTCCTGTGGGGTAGTTACCAGGGGTTCTGAGGGAGGTGGGGATGGGGGGGGGGAGGAGGTGGGGATAAGGGGGAAGGAGGTGGGGATAGGGGGGAAGGAGGTGTGTGTGTGTGTGAGTGAGTGAGTGTGTATGAGAGTATGTGAGGGGGGATGTGAGAAGAATAAGATGTAGTACAGCAGATGTTGTACTCCTATTGTGGTTGTTCACTTCACAAAAACCTACACTGCCCCTAAATTGCTAAGGTCTATGCATTGTGCTACACTTTGTACTGTCACTACACACTGATTTCCATCCGTATCACTGTGATGTCCAGAGAAATTACTACAAATTCCAGGAGCGCGGTCCCACACGTGTTCCCTGTCCCTTTCCCTACTCGAGTGTTTATTCACCTAGTATTCACCTAGTTGTGTTTGCAGGGGTTGAGCTCTGCTCTTTCGGCTCGCCTTTCAAATGTCAATCAACTGTTTACTAACTACTATTTTTTTCCCCACACCACACACACATACACACACACACACCAGGAAGCAGCCCGTGACAGCTGACTAACTCCCAGGTACCTATTTACTGCTAGGTAACAGGGGCATTCAGGGTGAAAGAAACTTTGCCCATTTGTTTCTGCCTCGTGCGGGAATCGAGCCCGCGCCATAGAATTACGAGTCCTTCGCGCTATCCACCAGGCTACCAGGTCCCGTACCAGGCTATCAAGCTCCGTGTGCGTGTTTGTTTGTGTGTGTTTGTGTGTGTTTGTGTGTGTGTGTGTGTGTGTGTGTGTGTGTGTGTGTGTGTGTGTGTGTGTGTGTGTGTGTGTGTGTGTGTGTGTGTGTGTGTGTGTGTGTGTGTTTGTGTGTGTGTATTGTGTGTGTATGTGTGTGTGTGTGTGTGTGTGTGTGTGTGTGTGTGTGTGTGTGTGTGTGTGTGTGTGTGTGTGTGTGTGTGTGTGTGTGTGTGTGTAATTACCTAAGTGTAATTACCTAAGTGTAGTTACAGGATGAGAGCTACGTTCGTGGTGTCCCGTCTTCCCAGCGTGTGTGCGTGTGTGTGTGTACTCATCTAATTGTGCTTGCGGGGGTTGAGCTTTGGCTCTTTGGTCCCGCCTCTCAACTGGTGTACAGATTCCTGAGCCTACTGGGCTCTATCATATCTACATTTGAAACTGTGTATGGAGTCAGCCTCCACCACATCACTTCCCAGTGCATTCCATTTACTAACTACTCTGACGCTGAAAAAGTTCTTTCTAACGTCTCTGTGGCTCATTTGGGTACTCAGCTTCCACCTGTGTCCCCTTGTTCGCGTCCCACCAGTGTTGAATAGTTCATGCTTGTTTACCCGGTCGATTCCCCTGAGGATTTTGTAGGTTGTGATCATGCCCCCCCTTACTCTTCTGTCTTCCAGTGTCGTAAGGTGCATTTCCCGCAGCCTTTCCTCATAACTCATGCCTCTTAGTTCTGGGACTAGTCTAGTAACATACCTTTGGACTTTTTCCAGCTTCGTCTTGTGCTTGACAAGGTACGGGCTCCATGCTGGGGCCGCATACTCCAGGATTGGTCTTACATATGTGGTGTACAAGATTCTGAATGATTCCTTACACAGGTTCCTGAACGCCGTTCTGATGTTAGCTAGCCTCGCATATGCCGCAGACGTGTGTGTGTGTGTGTGTGTGTGTGTGTGTGTGTGTGTGTGTGTGTGTGTGTGGTGTGTGTGTGTGTACTCACCTAATTGTACTCACCTAATTGTGCTTGCGGGGGTTGAGCTTTGGCTCTTTGGTCCCGCCTCTCAACTGTCAATCAACTGGTGTACAGATTCCTGAGCCTACTGGGCTCTATCATATCTACATTTGAAACTGTGTATGGAGTCCAGCCTCCACCACATCACTTCCTAGTGCATTCCATTTATTACTACTCTGACACTGACAAAATTCTTTCTAACGTCTCTGTGGCTCATCTGGGTGAGTGTGTATGTGTGTGTGTGTGTGTGTGTGTGTGTGTGTGTGTGTGTGTGTGTGTGTGTGCGTGTGTGCGTGTGTGTGTGTGTGTGTGTGCGCGTGTATTCACCTAGTTGTGTTTGCCGGGGTTGAGCTCTGGCTCTTTGGTTCCGCCTCTCAACTGTCAATCAACAGGTGTACAGGTTACTGAACTTGTACACCTGTGCGTGTGCTTGCGCGTGCGTTTGCATTTGTTAATGCTCATGAACTCATGCACTTGTGTGTGTGTGTTTGGTAATTGTGCCTGCGTGATCTAGATGTAGCTCTTAGACCCCGCCTTTGTAACCATCGGTTGTTCTAATGTTCAGACTCCTTACCTATTTTCTCTCTATCATGTCATAGAAATATACGAAATATACTACACATATTTGTTTCTAACACAGACATGTGCATATTTCCAGAATGCAGCCCATAGCAGCTGTTTAACTTCCAGTACCTATTTATTGCTACGTAAACAGGAGCATCAGTTGAAAGAAACTGCCCACTTGCTTATACCAGGAATCAAAACCGAGCCCGTAAGACTACGACCCCAGAGTTTATTTATTTTTTTATTTACTCTTTATGTCTGTAGGATCGAGCTGTTAGCTCTTGGACTCCGCCTTTTTAAACGTAGGTTGTCTATTATGCTGACTCCCGACCTGTTTTTCCTGTCATACCAACACACACACACTCCCAGGATGCAGCTCGTAGCAGCCATCCACCTCCTACGTACCTATTTACTGCTCGGTGAGCAGTGACATCAGGTGAGAGAAACTCTGCCCAATTGTTTCTGCCTCGGCCGGGAATCGAGCCCGGACGTTAGAACTATGACCCCCAATCCCCGAGCGCTGTGCGTGTGTGTGTACTCACCTAGTTGTACTTATCTAGTTATGTTTGCGGAGGTTGAGCTTCGGCTCTTTAGTTCCGCCTCTAAATCGTCAAAAGACTGTTGGACTGGTTCCTGAACCTTTTGGACTTAATCATATCTACATTTGAAACTGTGTATGTAGTCTGCCTCCAACACAACACAGCCTAATGCATTCTATTTGTTACCTGCCCTGCCACTGAAAAAGTTCCTTTCAATGTCTCTGTGACTCATTTGAATATTTAGATTCCACCTGTGTCCCTTAGTGCGTGTACCACTTTGGTCTAATGAACTGTTTTTATTTACCCTATCAATTGCTCAAAAAATCTAGTCTGTGGTCATAATGTCTCCCCTAACTCTTCTTTCTCCCAGCGACTTGAGGTTCAGTTCCTGTAATCTCTCGTAGTAGCTTATACCCATGAGGTCGGGTACCAGTCTGGTGGCATATCTTCGTGGGTGTGTCAGTTTGAACTATTTACAATTTTCCAACTTCTCTGAACTTTTGTTTCGAGTGAAAGATATAAATATTTTCGTCAAATATAAATATACTTCCAACTGATCACATGTACTTACATATTATTGAACACATATATTTAAATATTTCACAGGTGTGGCCAGCATAAAGTTAAGCACAAGTGAGTCAGCAGCCAGCCAATGTCTGCCTCGGCCGCAATACCTGCCACTCCCCCCAGACAACCTCCACAGTAAGTCTCTCCCTCATGTCTCGTTATATTATTATGGATCCAATGGTCATATATATCAAGGCTCAGTGCTTGTCTCGCTCATTCTGTATTACGGGCTCACCATAGCCCGTGCTACTTGGAACATTTTGTTCCAAGTAGCGAATCTTAAACAACAACAACAAATCATCCTGTATGTTTCCCATTGTCTCTCATGCTCACTTAAATGCATTATTCATGTATATTTTCTCAGTCGTCACATTCTGTCTCTTATCTCATTTTGACTCTTGTGTTGCAGCACATTAGTCATTATACTGTTCTTAACCTCAGTGAGCCGCAAGTTAATTACACAATTTCTTACATTGGACCACAACTCTCATAATGGTCTGTTACACCAGACAAACAAGTGAATGACAGTCTCGCTTGACCCCCTTACACTTCAGTGTAACATTGTTTCCTTATGGAAGTGTTCCTCGCCTCCCACTGGCGCCTGCGTCACACTGGCGCCTGCGTCACACTGGCGCCTGCGTCACACTGGCGCCTGCGTCACACTGGCGCCTGCGTCATACTGGCGCCTGTGTCACACTGGCGCCTGCCTCCCACTGGCGCCTGCGTCACACTGGCGCCTGCGTCACACTGGCGCCTGCGTCATACTGGCGCCTGCGTCACACTGGCGCCTGCGTCACACTGGCGCCTGTGTCACACTGGCGCCTGCGTCACACTGGCGCCTGCGTCACACTGGCGCCTGCGTCACACTGGCGCCTGTGTCACACTGGCGCCTGTGTCACACTGGCGCCTGTGTCACACTGGCGCCTGTGTCACACTGGCGCCTGCGTCACACTGGCGCCTGCGTCATACTGGCGCCTGTGTCACACTAGCGCCTATGTCACACTGGCGCCTGTGTCACACTAGCGCCTGTGTCACACTGGCGCCTGTGTTACACTGGCACCAGCGTCACACTGGCGCCTGTGTCACACTGGCGCCTGCGTCACACTGGCGCCTGCGTCACACTGGCGCCTGTGTCACACTGGCGCCTGCGTCACACTGGCGCCTGCGTCACACTGGCGCCTGTGTTACACTGGCGCCTGCCTCCCACTGGCGCCTGTGTTACACTGGCACCTGTGTCACACTGGCGCCTGCCTCACACTGGCGCCTGCGTCATACTGGCGCCTGCGTCACACTGGTACCTGCGTCACACTGGCGCCTGTGTTACACTGGCGCCTGTGTTACACTGGCACCAGCGTCACACTGGCGTCTGCGTCATACTGGACAGTATAATATTGTTTCCTTATGGCCTGTGTTCCTCGCCTCCCACTGGCGTCTGCGTCACACTGGCGTCTGCGTCACACTGGCGCCTGTGTCACATTGGTGCCTGCGTCATACTGGCACCTGTGTTACACTGGCACCAGCGTCACACTGGCGTCTGCGTCATACTGGCTCCTGCGTTACACTGGCGTCTGCGTCATACTGGCACCTGTGTTACACTGGCACCAGCGTCATACTGGCTCCTGCGTTACACTGGCGTCTGCGTCATACTGGCACCTGTGTTACACTGGCACCAGCGTCATACTGGCTCCTGCGTTACACTGGCGTCTGCGTCATACTGGCACCTGTGTTACACTGGCACCAGCGTCACACTGGCTCCTGCGTTACACTGGCGTCTGCGTCATACTGGCACCTGTGTTACACTGCACCAGCGTCACACTGGCACCAGCGTCACACTGGCGTCTGCGTCATACTGGCACCTGTGTTACACTGGCACCAGCGTCACACTGGCTCCTGCGTTACACTGGCGTCTGCGTCATACTGGCACCTGTGTTACACTGGCACCAGCGTCACACTGGCACCAGCGTCACACTGGCGTCTGCGTCATACTGGCACCTGTGTTACACTGGCACCAGCGTCACACTGGCACCAGCGTCACACTGGCGTCTGCGTCATACTGGCACCTGTGTTACACTGGCACCAGCGTCACACTGGCTCCTGCGTTACACTGGCGCCTGCGTCATACTGGACAGTATAATATTGTTTCCTTATGGAATTGTTCTTCGACTCCCACTGGCACCTGCGTCACACTGGCGTCTGCGTCATACTGGAGAGTATAACATTGTTTCCTTATGGAATTGTTCTTCGACTCCCACTGGCGCCTGCATCACACTGGCGCCAGCGTCACAAAGGACAGTATAACATTAGACACTATAATACTTCCTTATGGGAATGTTCCTCTCCTGCCACTGGCGCCTCCGTCACACTGGCGCCAGCGTCACAAAGGACAGTATAACATTAGACACTATAACACTGCATCACCTTATCACATTTACGCCTGTTCCTCTCACACCTGCCACTGGCGCCTCCGTCACACTGGTGGCTGCATCACACTGGCGCCTGCGTCACATTTACGCCTGCGTCAAACTGGCGCCTGCGTCACACTGGCACCTAGGTCACACTGCCGCCTGCGTCACACTAGCGTCTGTATCGCACTGGCGCCTGCGTCACACTGGCGCCTGCGTCACACTAGCGTCAGCTGCCATCTGTGTCTCACCATCCTGTGATGCTCTGTGTCTCACCATCAGCTGCCTGTGATGCTCTGTGTCTCACCATCACACTGGCGCCTGTCACACTGGCTCTGTGTCTCACCATCAGCTGCCTGTGATGCTCTGTGTCTCTGCATCAGCTGCCTGTGATGCTCTGGTCTCATCTCAGCTGCCTGTGTTGCTCGTAGTCTCACCATCAGCTGCCTGTGATGCTCTGTGTCTCACCATCAGCTGCCTGTGATGCTCTGTGTCTCACCATCAGCTGCCTGTGATGCTCTGTGTCTCACCATCAGCTGCCTGTGATGCTCTGTGTCTCACCATCAGCTGCCTGTGATGCTCTGTGTCTCACCATCAGCTGCCTGTGATGCTCTGTGTCTCACCATCAGCTGCCTGTGATGCTCTGTGTCTCACCATCAGCTGCCTGTGATGCTCTGTGTCTCACCATCAGCTGCCTGTGATGCTCTGTGTCTCACCATCAGCTGCCTGTGATGCTCTGTGTCTCACCATCAGCTGCCTGTGATGCTCTGTGTCTCACCATCAGCTGCCTGTGATGCTCTGTGTCTCACCATCAGCTGCCTGTGATGCTCTGTGTCTCACCATCAGCTGCCTGTGATGCTCTGTGTCTCACCATCAGCTGCCTGTGATGCTCTGTGTCTCACCATCAGCTGCCTGTGATGCTCTGTGTCTCACCATCAGCTGCCTGTGATGCTCTGTGTCTCACCATCAGCTGCCTGTGATGCTCTGTGTCTCACCATCAGCTGCCTGTGATGCTCTGTGTCTCACCATCAGCTGCCTGTGATGCTCTGTGTCTCACCATCAGCTGCCTGTGATGCTCTGTGTCTCACCATCAGCTGCCTGTGATGCTCTGTGTCTCACCATCAGCTGCCTGTGATCCTCTGTGTCTCACCATCAGCTGCCTGTGATCCTCTGTGTCTCACCATCAGCTGCCTGTGATGCTCTGTGTCTCACCATCAGCTGCCTGTGATCCTCTGTGTCTCACCATCAGCTGCCTGTGATCCTCTGTGTCTCACCATCAGCTGCCTGTGATGCTCTGTGTCTCACCATCAGCCTGTGCCTGTGATGATCCTCTGTGTCTCACCATCAGCTGCCTGTGATGCTCTGTGTCTCACCATCAGCTGCCTGTGATGCTCTGTGTCTCACCATCAGCTGCCTGTGATGCTCTGTGTCTCACCATCAGCTGCCTGTGATCCTCTGTGTCTCACCATCAGCTGCCTGTGATGCTCTGTGTCTCACCATCAGCTGCCTGTGATCCTCTGTGTCTCACCATCAGCTGCCTGTGATCCTCTGTGTCTCACCATCAGCTGCCTGTGATCCTCTGTGTCTCACCATCAGCTGCCTGTGATCCTCTCTGTTATCACACCGACTCTCTCATGACGTCATGCTCACTTAGCACATTCCTTCAATATACCAAATTTATGTTCTACACATTAACTTGTATTTTATTGTAATTTATTCACTGTACCATGTATTATACTGTATTTTGTCCAACACCTTAACTTGTACAACATTTTACTTTGTACTTCACAATCATTTGTATTTGGCAGCATTTTGTTCTACATTTCAACATTGTATTACACTATATTTTGTACTACACTGTAACATACATTACACTGCTCTTTGTTCGATACAGTTAATTACATATATTACACAGTATAATGTCATACTTCACCGTAAAATGTATTATACTGAGTTTTGAAAAACACTTCTTTGTTTTTCGTCACACAGTAGCTTGTAGTACACAATATTTTTCTACATTGTTCACTAATTTGTACTTCTCTGCAACGTACATTGCACAGTATTTTATGCTGTACTTTAACTGCTCGCGTACATGTACAAATATTTTATACTTGTTCGTTAATCGGAAGTTAACCTGTACAACTTCATTCTAACAGAATCCGAGACCTTTGGGCTATGGAGAGGGAGTGCAGGAGAGTTTCTTAATAATCTCGAGTAGGTTGATTTACGCTAATTCCTGTCCCCTCCACCTTGGCAGGTGGTGCACAGGTAAGCACCAGGTGTCCAGGTGAATAATTAGGGGACGTGTATTGGCGTTAGGGGGGGGGGTGTATGGGATTAGCTCCACCTCCTTGAGATAGTGTGAGCCAATGGTTGGATGGTGAGGAGGGTGTAGTAGGAGGAGGGAGTGTGTAGAGATAGGGTGAGTAGGTGTATGAGATTGAAGTTAAGTGGAAGAAAGTATAATTGAAAAATGATAAACTCTACGTTTAGTATCTACCGTGTTTCATTACTCATCCCGGTCCCCGTGCTCCTGGTAAGCATCAACAGCCCAAGTGATAGAGCACAGGTGGAGTGACGTGTTTGTTGTAAGAGTGGTTTTCAGGGAAGGTGCTCCGATGTAAAAGGAATTTTTGTGTTAAAGCATGCCTCGCGAGGTTGTGAGAGGGAGAGTTAAGTATTTTAGAGGTGTAGAGAGAAGTGGGTATCATTGTAATAGTTCATAAAGGTTCAAATGGGTTTAAGTGAGAGGAGATAGGTGACGTGTTTTTAAAAGGAGAGCGAGTAATTGATAGAGTGAGATATTTGATATTTTGTCAGAGAGAGTTTTGCGTTTGAGTGATGTGAGAGCTCTCTTTAGGAAGAGTGTGACAAACCTTTACAGAAGTGTATCGTAAGAAGATTTAGAACCATGTAGTCAGTCACCCGCCTTCCACTTTAGCTGAAGAGAGAGAAAGAGAGAGAGAGAGAGAGAGAGAGAGAGAGAGAGAGAGAGAGAGAGAGAGAGAGAGAGAGAGAGAGAGAGAGAGAGAGAGAGAGAGAGAGAGAGAGAGAGAGAGAGAGAGAGAGAGAGAGAGAGAGAGAGAGAGTAGAGAGAGAGACAGAGAGAGAGAGAGAGAGAGAGAGACAGAGAGAGAGAGAGAGAGAGAGAGAGAGAGAGAGAGAGAGAGAGAGAGAGAGAGAGAGGGAGGGAGAGAGAGAGAGAGAGAGAGAGGAGAGAGAGAGAGAGAGAGAGAGAGAGAGAGAGGAGAGAGAGAGAGAGAGAGAGAGGAGAGAGAGAGAGAGAGAGAGAGAGAGAGAGAGAGAGAGAGAGAGAGAGAGAGAGAGAGAGAGAGAGAGAGAGAGAGAGAGAGAGAGAGAGAGAGAGAGAGAGAGAGAGAGACACACAGAGAGAGAGAGAGAAAATTCAACAAATGCAGCTTAACATAAATGCCAATTCCTAAACCAAATGAGAGACAATCACACAAAATCAAATGCTTCATTCAGAAACGGTTGTCCATCTAAAATTGGGAAAGGTTACATAAAAATTACAGTTTAACTTTTACATAATAAAAAGTCAAAATAACAGTATACTAAAAATTGCATATGTAAATAATAGCAAATTATACATATTATTGTTATGTATTGTATAATCTGTATTTACATTAGAAGTTTCATTTGTCAGTGATTAATACAAAAAATCAATACAGTTTTAGTTGAAGTGGACAAATTTTATTAATAGAAAAAAATAAAAAAAATGTTTGTCAATAAGCTATCTTTTTGTAATAGGAGCTTCTTAATAATTGCAAATATCAAGATAAGGGGTATCCGTTCTTCCTCTGCTGAATAGTTGTTCAATTATTTCCTATAGACCTGCTACTGGAATATATACATTGGATTATATATTACCATTCTTAAAATATATTTTCTAACAACCAAGTTATTTTTCATATAAAGTTTTTAATTGTTAGTGATAAATGAATGAATGAATAAATAAGCTTATTTTGTTTGCTGGATGGGCGATTACCTTCATACAAACTTACATTATTCAATTGTGAATATTTTCCTTATGTGAAGGTGTGGACTGCACATCAGGTAGAACACTGCTGTGAGTGCAAGAATGGACACCCAAAATAAGTCATGAACATTTCCTTCGTTCACAATATACTCTACAGAGGTCAGCATTTCGTAGGTCCCATGGTTCACACTCAAACAAGGAGAGACATTGACTATTAGATAACTTCACTTTAGGTCAGATATCAACATAACTAAATTCCCTCATATTGACATTTATTCTGATGTGCGAACTCAAATGCTCTAACCTTCCTAACAAACTTGACATGACATAATCCTACCACTCTTTCTTTTATTTTTCGTACCCCTCTTACCTTATCATTCTTCCTTCATCCAAATATTTCACTCATCCTATTCGTACCTTTCATCCAATTTGTACCTTTCGCCTTACTCTTACCTTCTTCTAGGAATTATCTTTTTCTGTTACCTGCTCCTCACGGCACTCTTGCCTTATTTAATGCCTGTGCCTCCATAGTATAAAAGGAATCCAGTTTCAGCCCCGCTCCTGTGCCAGGTAAGTCCACTACGGGCTCACCATAGCCCGTGCTACTTGCCCCGCTCCTGTGCCAGGTAAGTCCACTACGGGCTCACCATAGCCCGTGCTACTTGCCCCGCTCCTGTGCCAGGTAAGTCCACTACGGGCTCACCATAGCTCGTGCTATGTGGAACTTTTAGTTTCTAGTAGCTGAATCTAAAACAACAACCTAGCGTCCCTTATGGGCTATTCATGCCCGTGTCGCCACTTGGGTGGCTTAATCATCAACAATCAATCAATATCGCTCTACCCACAGTTACAGCCCCACTCCTGTGCCAGTTAAGTCTCCTACGGGCTCATCATAACCCCATGATACTTGTAATTTTTTGTTCCGAGTAGCTGAATCTAAGACAACAATTTCGCTCCCATCACAATCAACTTGATAATGGTTCAGAATGGACCGAACTGTAGTCGTCTCTCTATCTTCATGTGTGTGGTTTGGTCATCATTTATTCTAACTTTCAGGTATTTTCTAGCATCAGAAAAGTTAACAAGTTGGCACTTTGAATATATATTATGCCCCAGATGGATTTCAGAATAATTTCCTGGAATTATTCTATCCAAAGAGATTTGGGAGTCATGGTTAGCAGCGTTCTGTTAGTTTAATATCATTATTAAATAAATTATGGTACATTTTAGTATGAACAGGAACAACATATGATTGGAAGAAAACAGAAACTCATATTTAGCAAGCTTGTCCCCCTATAATAGTATATTGCTTACGGATTTTCCTCTGAATAAATAATTTATTAACTGGAACTAGAATTAGGGATAATTCCCCTGCTCCCCTGTGAAAGGTGCTCAGCGTTATCACCTCCACACATGAATTAGGCTTTCCCCTCATAATTCCCTGCCCCCTCAGTTGTGATATTATTGTAACTGAGAGCCACGCCGTCGCTTAGCACCATTGGAAAATTTAGACAAAATGTTTTTTCAAGGTCATTTATTTCCCTCAAAAGAAATATGCTTGCTCATTCAATGCGAAATGCGTTTTGTAATTTTATGTATTTTACTTCAAAATTTAATTTTTATTTTTCAATAACTGTTAACGATTTGGTTATGAATTGTCTTCCAAAAATTTTAGTAATCAAGTCTAGTATACGATAACAATCCTTTGGTTACTCCTACAGACTGCTCGCTGCCGTATGTCTCTATGAACAATGGTGGGCGGTTAGGCAACAAAATATGTCAGTACATGTCTCTTGCCTTACTCAGGAGTGTGTTTGGAATGCGGGTAAGTTTTAAGGTCACATGGATGTTTGTTTATCTTCATTTGATGTTCAGATATTTACTGTTTTAACCATTGTTGTTTCATGAGTGAAGGAAAAATTATATATAAAGATTTATATTATAAATTTGTCAAGGAAAAACAGTCTAAGTAATTATTTTATTATAAAACAAGCATAACTATAGAGTTCCAAAATTGGGAAAGTGTCTTGATACATTAACATTTTATGCAAAATTAAATTTCAGGATGTAAATTCCATATAGAAAATCTCAAGCAGAGCCGTGTGCAAATTGTTATCTATCGGTTGAGAAAATATTAAAAATAGTTATAAGCAAGAACCAGCCCATCCTCCTGTTTTGTTAGTACTTATAGTTGTGATGACGACCATAGCTCATAAACCGACGTACAGCGCAGTTAGAAAGTAGAAATCGGTACTATTGAACCTTGACAAACAGGAAAAGATTATCTATCTATGATGTAAAGACAAACTAAACTAACCTAACCTTCATAGGATCAATACACGATATCTGAGGCCTAATATAGTACATATGTACGCTATACAAGGCCTAGGACTCTCCCCCCCCCCTCCTTTTCCAGCCGGATACTATCCTGAGGCAGCTGGGTGGGTGGCTGCTGGAGTGTGGTGCTCTCTGGGACAGCTTGTCCTCTGTCCTTTTGAAGCCTTGTGCTCCTGCCGCTGTCCTCTCCAATTTTGCTGGTAGCATTTTTCCTCTTTCACAAGTTCAATTTTTCCTCCCCAACTCTTTTCCTTCAGATTGTTCCCTTCCTGCAGACGTTTTGCCATTCTTGATTTGTTATTTTTGATGTTTTCTACTGTTTTGACGCTGAGTCTTAGGGGAGGCACACTCTCTCACCCAGAACTGTGGTACCTAACGTGGTCGAGCGTTTATTGTCAAACTTTACCTTCATGTCTATGCCCGATCTCTAAGGACTGACGGTTTTTAAGGTGGCAATTGCGGGGCGTATACCCACGATGCACTCCGGAGGGGGGGGGGGATCCGTCTAGTCGGGTGTCCTGTCCTCTAATTGTGGTTTATTCATGGATGAAAATTTTCCTGCATGTTTTTATGCCTTTTTCTAACCTTCCCTTAACTTCTCAGACTCGTGGGGTAGGTGACCAGGCCCCAGAGTTAGTGTTCTGGAAGGCCGGGCTTAGTAGCCTCCGTTACATTGGGCCCTGACCATGCTTCTTCTCTGACTCTCCCGACTGACACTCTCTGCTCCCCTCCCACCTCTGTGGCGGAGTTGAGCCGCAATCCCCGTTGGTGACCTCCTCAACACCTGGCGTTGCTCCGTCTCTTGTTGTCACAACTGCGCATTTTACCCCCCTCTCTTACCAGGGGTGCTCGGCGCTTTCACCTTCACACATGAACGCACATGGTTCCTTCCCAATCTAATACTTTCCAGATTTTGTTTGGTCCTGCAACGCGGACTAAATAGTTTTTTCTTAGTTATGTTGACCCTTTTCTTTCTGATGATTTATTCCTCCATAAACACCTTGTTGATTCAGTGGATACGGTGGTCACCTTTATCCCGTACTGGTACCCGTGACTTGTTGTAGCCACACACACACACACACACACTAGTGACCTCACCAGCTGTGACGCGGGACACAGCGACCTCACATCTTGACCAGCTGCGTGGAGTACTTTCTCGCCTGTTTGTGCTGCAGATTGTGCAAGGTATTGAGGAGCGCCTTTTTGGCTAGATTGTTACTGCAATGACTAGAAGGGGTTCAAGGTCAATCACCAGCAGGGATGAGGAGGAGGACAGATTTATAGACAAATTAATAGGGAAATTTGTAGAGAGAAGGAGCGATTGGATGGAGGATCTAATTCAAGGGATTAAAAGTGAGGTATTTCAGCAAATACAGGATGCGGTAGAGAGGCAGAAACAAGAATTTATGCTCTATGTTCAGGAAGAGATTAGGAAGGGAAGAGAGGACTGGGAGAGGGAATGTGCTCGTATCACAAACGAATTAGGAAGGATTAACAGCATGGCTAAGGACAGAGGATTAGTGGGGGATGGGTTAGTGACTGCGGTTGGGATGGAGAATCCCCAGGGGACAGGCTACCAGCATGACAATGAATTACTGAGGAGACAGTCTATTATAATACATGGATTATTCGAATCTGGGGCACCAACAAGACAAGAGAGAATAGAAATGGAAAAATACGAATTGCACGAGATATTGAGATGTATTGGAACAGGAATGGCAGAACACGAGGTGGATATCAGCCGCCGGGTTGGACCTTACAATTGTACCAAGAATAGACCTGTTCTGGTGCAATTCTCCAATGAGGAGGCTGTGGAGTACAAAATGAGGAACAAGCATTTACTCAGAGGAAGTGAAACCCATTACTATGTGTTTATAGAGAGGTTTATGACGAAAGATGAGCAAATAGCCCACAAGAATAGATGGCAACAACGACACCGAACTAGCCTCTCAGGTAGTCTCACCTCCCAGGTCACATCCCAGGCCACCTCCCAGGTCACCTCCCAGGTCGCATCCTCCCCAACTCAGCCCTCCTATACCTCCCCCCTGCCTCAGCCTCCCAAAACCCCCCTGTTCCCTTCCACATTTGCACCTCCCCAACGATTCCCCTGCCCCTGCTACATCACACCTGTCAACGACCCCAGTGGGTCAAGCCATGCCCTCCCCAAACCCACCTTCCCATCCCCCCTCCCCAACTACCCCTTCCTACTCCCCTGCCCCTTCTACCCCATTGACTTCAATTCCATCTACTCCGTCCCAGCTTCCACTGTACTCCTCTTCCACTCACCCCCAAACCCCACCCAACCCTCACCCCTCCTATGCACCTTCAGCCCACGTTTAACCCCCTCACCTTGTGACCCCCTAACACCTTCCCCCATCTCCCTCTTCCCCTCTTCTACCCCAAAACCCCCACCTACCCCCGATTCCCCCCTAACTAATACACCCACTCTTCCACTCCCAGCACCCATGCTCCATTCTCATCTCAGCCCTCCACCCCAACCTCTCAACCTCTATCTGACTCTCAGTCTCACTCTATTTCTCAACCCCCCTATGCTATTCAGACCCCTAACTTTCAGACCCATTATGCCCTTCCTACCCCCCTAGATGCCCAGACCCCATTCGCCTACCAGGCACTCCCAAGCACCCCCCTAGCACCCCCCCACTCACCCCCACAGCCCCCACTTGCCCCCCAGACACCCCCCCCAGTTCCCCCCAGACCCCTGGTGAAAGGGGGAACTCTAACACCCGAGTTTCCAAGAAGAGTCTCAAGGTTTGGTACACCAATGCTGATGGGGTAGCCAATAAAGCAGAAGAGATAAAAGAAAGAGTTAGTGAGGCAGACCCAGACATAGTGGCAATAGTGGAAACTAAAATAAATGGCATGATCTCGGATGCAATCTTTCCAGAGGGGTACCAGGTGATAAGAAAAGAAAGGACACAGAGACAGGGAGGAGTGGCACTGCTAATAAAGCGGAAATGGAAGTTTGATGAGCTGGAAAATCCGGGTACCAATGAAAGCACGAGCTTCATACATGGAACTCTGACAGTGGATGGGAAGAAGATTGTAATCTTGATACTCTACAATCCCTCACCAAACAGTAGAAGGCCCAGGCAGGAGTACGAGGAGCCCCATTACAATCTATTATAGTTCCTGAAGAACCTTTTTCTCATGTTGCCATGGATTGTCTAGGTCCTTTATCGAGAACTAAGTCAGGTAATATGTTTTTGTTCACCTTGATGTGCATGATGACGAGATTTCCTGAGGCATATGCTTTAAGGAACACTAAGGCTCATAATCTTATCAAGTGTCTAGAGCGATTTTTCTCCTTGTTTGGGATGACTCGTGTTATCCAGACTAGGGGAAACTTTTGTTCCATAGTTTTCAGAAACTCTTGTGAATCACATGGGATTCAACATAACTATTCGAGTCCATATCATCCACAAAGTCAAGGTGGAATTGAGCGTTTTCATCAAACGTTAAAACAGATGTTGAATATCACAGGGGAGACTTAGCCACGTAATTGAGACAAAAATCTACCTTTTGTTATTTTTGAAGCCAGAGAGAGGTTACAAGAGTCACTTGGTTGTTCTCCATTTGATCTCGTATTCAAACACCAGGTAATAGGTCCATTGAAGATGCTTCAAGAGAAGTTGATGGGTGATGTCTCTGTTCATCAGAGTGGTCGTTACGTGAGTGATGTCAAGAACAAGTTATGTCGTGCAAAAGAGTTGGCTATGGAACATCATGGGAAAACTCAGCAAGAGATGAAGCACCGATATGACAAGAAGTTCAAGGCAAAGCTCAGGTCGTTAGCAGTCGGCGATTTGGTGTTGGTGTTAAAACCTCGTCTAGGGAACAAATCCACAAGGGCCGTGACGAGGATTCGAACCTACGTCCGAGATCATCCCAGATGCTGCCTTTATCGACTGAGCTACGACATGGTCAAAAGAGTTGAAACCGAAGTTCTACTGAACTTACTGGATCCTGCAGCCTCTCCGAGACAAACCAGGTTTTACACAACTCCCCCATGCACTCGAGCTTTGTCAAAAGGCCGTTCTCCCTCTTCGCCCTTACTTCATGTTCCCCTACTTCCCTTGTAGGAAATTCGCCCTTACTTCATGTAGGTTCGAATCCTCGCCACGGCCCTTGTGGATTTGTTCATTTGATGCATCACGCTATTGTGATTTCTGTGTGTAAATCTCGTCTAGGGACTTCCACGTCCCATAGGTTTGAAGGGCCCTACCAAGTGATAGAAAAGTTGGGAGATTTGTCTTATAAAGTGTGTAACCCTACACTTTCAGAACAACAAATGACTGTGCATGTCAACCGTTTGAAGGCCTATTGTGGACCAGGTGTTGTAGCTTGTTTTAGTCAGGAGGAGTTACCACCTGAGGAGGATTGTAATGAGGGGAACGATGTTAACATTCATATTCTTAGTTCCAGTTCCAAAGGGAAGGAGATACTATGTCATTTACAGGAGAAGCAGCG